TCACAATGTCTGGAATGGCAGTTCAAATAGTTCCAACTCCTTCTAACGTAAGCCCATGGCTGAGGAGCTTGGGCCAGAGACATACATCATCACCCGTCCAACCACTGCAGCTGCAGTTATACGGACCGGTCCGCATTCCAGGCTTTGTGATATCATCATAAGGAGAAATTGTGATCATCGTGGCTTCAACTGAAATCAAACGGGCCTGCAGGTCCGAGAAAACCAGGATCTGAATGAAAACAAATAACGATATCAGTACCTTGCATGAACGAAAAACCAAGAAATTCAAAAGTGAATTGGTGAATTGGTATGGATCTGCATGACCATCACTCGGTGTTTGTCCCGTAGAGTCCGCATTTGGTATCGTGTCAGTCGACTTCCACAAACTCTACATAGCCCCAAGACGAGGCTGAACGCTTTCGGACTGTAGCTGACGCGGTGCAGTTTGTGATTGGTGATTAGGGTATAAACTTTGCCAAGTGAGGACTTGTATCAGCCCCCGTACCAACAGTTCTATGATGCTCAGTTACGGGTTTCGAGCGGTTGATCGTCCAAGCTGGAGTGCATAGAATTCGCTCATGAAGTGGTCAGAAGGGGTGCTGGTGAGGATTATAAAGTCAGGGGCCATACCGTTGCAAACTCAACTGTTGTCAAGCAACTCAAGTGAAGACTGCAGTACCTTGAGATAGCATCAACATGTCTTCATTTCAGATTTTATCTCTTATCACAGCGGCTACTTCTGTTGTAGCGCTTGCTGGGACACCAAATGTCTACGCAGGTGGTCGCCGAGGCTCATGCCATGATGATGCTGCAGTTGAGGACACCTGCTGCTATTCATCACCTGCAAGGGTGGTTCAGACTCAAGTCTGGGATACACGTCCAGTCACTGGGCCTTTAGGTGAGTGTCGACCTCCGTATAAACAAGTCAACTGTATCTAACCTCTTCACCAGACTCCTGGACTGTTGGTGGACTGTGGCCAATCCACAGCGACGGCTCCCTCCCTACCCACTGCGACACCAACCGCACATACACAAATATCACACAAATCCTCTACCATGACGGCGCCGAAGATACCATTGACGATATGAACCATCTCTGGGAGTCACCTGATGGCGATAATGACGAGCTCTGGCAAGATCAATGGGCTAAGCATGGCACATGCTTCAGCACCTTGAGCCCGGAGTGCTTCAGCCACTATGAAGTTTCAGAAGAAGCAGCCCCGTACTTCCAAAGAGTCATGTCTCTCCACAAGAGGCTGCCAACTTATGAGTGGCTCCGTGACGACGGTATTATTCCTTCATATTCGATGTTTTATCGACTCTCTGATATCCAAGATACACTTGAGGATCATCATGGCTCCCGCGTGTCACTTCGCTGTGCCGGACAAAGGATACGAGAGATTGGGTATCACTTCAATGTTACAGGCACTCTACAAGATGGCGTCTTCACTGACTCTGGTGCATTCGGCGATTTAGGCGATTGTCCAGAGCTGGTGTTGTATGAACCCAAGGGCGAAACCAAGAAGGCAATCTTTAGCTTTGAGACGTTTCATCCGCATACTGCTGCGGATGTGGAGGACCTTTAGCCTAGTTCATCAGTATACTTCACCTTAGCTTAGATAACATTTTAATAAATTCCGTAAGTAATCGCATACTTTACTTGAAACTAGCAGCTAGTCAAATGCCATCTCCCAGTTCTCGATTGTTCTTTTCCACGTTATCCGCCTAGGGAGGAGTCCAATATAATAGGCAACTTCTTGTCTTTGTCGAGGCTCGTTCTGACCAAAGGTCAGGCTTAGAGGTTGATTCAGTATAGATATAAGCCAAATACGGGGCATTTCATATCAGAAGACGGAATGTGGGCAATGGAGGCCAACTCAGCTACTCAATCCACAGGAAACATACCCCAGTTTACAATATCTCCGAAACATTGCCATCGGATTATCGGCTTATCCAGCCAAATATCTCCACCAGTCACAACCTCAACACCTGCTGTTTCACCCAAACAACGCTGACAGACCCAGATAATATCCATGCGTGTTTTAAGCCGCGTATAAGTACGACAGGTGTCGTTGAGCATGAGCCACTTTATCCTTGCTAGAATTGGTCAAGGGGCGAGCGCTCCACCGAGAGAATCATGGATATCTCCACTATGGCATGTTTCGAAAACACGTCTTCAATTTCTTTGAAACAAAGGAGAGAAATTGTCGTATATAAGGTCTCCGAATATCTTGGAGCTACAATCTTATCTCAACACAGCCAGACTATTAATTTCCCGTAGCCGGCTCAAAACCTCATATCATTCATCATGTATCCTCTCACTACACTAGCTTCAGTCCTTGCCATCGCAGGCGCCGTTACTGCTACTCTTGAGCCTGCTCAGAGCAACACCAAGGGAAAATACCCCAAGAGCCCATCATGCTCTCGTGCGTCAACCTATTGTCCATCCATATCCTACACTAACGCTGCAACCAGCATCCAAGACCTCCAACGCCATCCAGGCTGCTGAGTGCGCCTACAACACCCGTGTCTCTGGCCAGCAGACCTTTGCCATCTTCAAGGTCGATCACCAATATGATGCCAACAACGGTGCTCCCTACGGCACCTGTGAAGCGTACGAATGTGATGCTCCTACTTCCGACGAGCTCACTGCTGATGCAGATTACTGGACCTTTTTCTGGAAGTGAGTGTTCTATAACGATGTTCATGATATAGATCTGACTATTAGTAGCGACAATGGAGAGTCTTCTGGGGTTGGAACAACCTGTATCAAGGATCCTAACGATGGAACATGTGGCTGTGAGAACTCTGACGGTACTTTTGTTCATGGAGGAACGAACTGCACATAGACTGTTGATACCGAAGCGAGACTCATGTCGCTAGGATGGTTGAAAAATGGTCTTATATCGATAAAAAGAGAAGGAACTTCTCAGTACATACGCTTCCGGATAAATAAATGATATATAACGTTTGTTTCATGATCTTTTACGAATGTGAGACCCAAGTGTGCGCTGGCGTAGCCGATGGCCAATGTACAAGAATGTGGACGCCAATGGCTCAACACAGTTCCCCTAATCGGACGATTTCGGTGGGAGGAGAAGAGCTTGCAAACCTCCGTGTATCATTCTGGGACGTCACAGGCCCTAGTGCTTCACAGCATTGTCTATGGCCTATCAATGTTGACAGTTTCAGCATTTGCACTAGCTGTAGGGTAGTTGAGTCAGACTGGGCACCATCGGCGAACAGCTACCTCGACATGGCATTCTTCTCGTCGACATCAGCCTCATTGAAGCCTGATCGTCTCAACGGTTCTAAAACCGGGACCGAAATGATTGATCTTTGCACAGACCCTTTCTCAAGCCTCCTGAACTCGTTAGTGTCATGAGTGCCGTTTCGTCTGCACCGGCTTCAATTAGAGGGCGATCACCTAGCTCGAATTTGCGGGGAAGCAAACGATGGAACTAAATGAACACACAGTCGGCCAAGCTGGATTGGGCTTATGCGAAATAGCACGACTTGTTAGAATTGCAGGAATTGTTAGGAACTTTTTATTATCTCCTTGAGATCGTCTCGCAATGTGTCACGCCGGAAATGCTCTTTGCCAAACCCAAGCCAGATTAAGCGGTGTCAAGCTATGAGAGGCGCTCCAGCATTCAACCTTAGCTCAGCCATCAGCCGCCAAAAGCTGCATGTATGTACAGACAGTCCAGCTGACATTTCAACACTGGCCCTCAAATACTCGAGCCCATTAGTGTAAATTCAGTACCAGCATAAGCGACAATTCGATTGATCGCCTCAGGGGATAAAGCCGACTCCTCAGTTTGCTCAGTGTGGAGTCATGGGCCTCGGCACGAGCCGCATCCGATTCGTCTCCATCCTGACTCAGCTACTGTGCACACAGCGCGGCAAAGCTGAAAGCAGTATCCTCATCGCAGTGGAAGATCCCAATCTTTTGGTTGTGCTAACGGCAGCTGTGGCTTGACGATCCGGTTGCTAGCGGGGAGGGATTATCCTTAGGAAAGCGGGTGACGAACCGAGTCGTTGGGAAGACAGATGGCCTGCGCCATATCTAGCCCTAATTACACACGTTTTTTTTTTTGCTTTTCTTTTTTATGTGAATGTTGATAGGTAATATGCTAAAGGCGGTGAGGAGAGTGATTTCGTAGGCGAAATGAAGATGCCACGACACGAGTGGTGTCCTCGAAAGACGATGGATAGAGTTTGAGTGATGTCGACCGCTGGAACATGAGGGGTCAAAGAGACTGGATTGCCACGAAATGAATCAATTCACCACAATGCAATTGGACACGGTCTAGACGCTGCTCCCTCAAACTCTCCCTGCTTGACTCGTTCAAAAGTCTCAGCCTCAACACATCACCGCCGATCTGCAGCCACTCGCGACCACCAATTGGTTGATGCGCAGCGCTTTAATCGATAGGTCACTTATCAGTAACACAGAACGTCACTTGGCACGCAGATCTTGTTACCCAATACTCCAAGAAAAGCAGCACATAGCAAAACAAAACCACGAGCACGACTCGGATACCAAGTATGTACAGCACACAAGAGCACGGCTCTTAACGGGCTGTCGGTAGTGACGGCGCCTCTTTCGGTCTGGAATCTGCCGACGCGGGGAAAGGCTTGAACTGCTTTGGAGATTAGGGGCAAAAAGAGGCACTCTTAAGGTTCTCCCCTTTGGTTGATGCTACAGTAGACGGTACTTATTCGCACTCAGACATTGCTAATCGAGTTACGTCAATGATACATTATGAACCGACGTGCATGAAGGGGCTTCAGCTAGCATCTCAACAACTCCCAATCATTAGCCTGCCGCTACATATCACCCTGCATGTGCCCTCGGCCAAGTATTTGCTTTTCTCACCTCTAGTCTATGATGTCCTTCTCTTAATTCTCTTTCCCTCTTATGCATCTCTAATTCCTCAACCATGGAAAACTTCACCCGAGATACCACGCCCAAATGATTTCCCATCTAACATGCCATGTTAACACTCCTCTCTCCCCACTACAAAGCCCAGGAAGTTACAAGAGGTGACCTTGTCATCGCCTCGACGGCGTTCGGCTTCACGCTTGGTTTTGGATGGTTGACTGTCTTCAAGGCCATTAGGCAGACCTGGCAGGTGTATCAGCGCCATGGCCTACGGGTGTTTCGAAATGCTTATATTATAATGGTCTGGGGGGAGTTGACGGTCTGTACGATTTTTATGATTCTTTGTATCTTGCATTTACTGGACGTTATACCCCCGAGGTTAGTTGTCCCGGTATCGGCGATGAGAATTTTGACTGACAGCAGCAATCACAGCTTTGCATTTTATTTTACAATTCGTAAGTTTCCAGTCGCTTCGATATGAATTTGACTGACCGCTTCTTAGTCACGTCATGGGCTCTTCAGGTACGAATTTCAAAGTCATCCGCTCGAACCGCCAAAATTAACCCTCGCCCGATAGGTCCAATTCCTCCTCCAAATCATCGTCAACCGCTGCGGTATCCTCCTCACCAACAAAAAGAAAGCATACCGCCTCAAAGTCCTCATCGGCACACTTATAACGGCCGTTAATATTTCCGTCTACTGCATATGGATTCCAGCGCGATTGCAAGTATCTGAGCGATATATCCACATCAATGAGTGGTGGGACCGATGCGAAAAAGTCATCTATCTTATTGTCGACGGCTGTTTGAATTTCTACTTCATCCACATCGTTCGAAAAAATCTTATTATTCACGGCCTTACCAAGTACAAGAGGTTGACGCATTTTAATATGATTATCATTGGGTTTTCCTTGAGCATGGATGTTCTTATCATTGCCATGATGAGTTTACGAAATACCTTTGTGTATGCCTTTGTCCCCAAGTCCCCGACCTACTTTGAACATGCTAACTGTTGACAGATACATGCAGTTTCATCCACTAGCATATACTGTAAAATTACACATTGAGATGTCAATGGCGGATCTTATAGGCAAGATCGCTCGTGACAAGCATTGCGGCATCATAGCCGACGGAACGTTCTCAAGTAGGCTTAGCAATGGGACATATCATCTAGAAGATTTCCAAGGGCTAGATAGTGAAACGAGGCTGGCAGAACGAGGGGACAGAGGAAGTGTTTCGAAACCCAGACGCATGTTTCGTTCTTATTCTCGGCGGACTGGAGAGTATGACAGAGATGACTATCCAGAACCGTGTTGATGATATACGATCAACTAAAATATAACGACACGTTAAGCAGAAACTGTACAGAACACTCCTGTCCCTGTAAAGAATGTTCGTTGAGAATGAAGTCGATCTTTTGCCTTTCTCCTCAGCTGATTGACCTAATGACTAGCAGCCTTGAGATCACAAGATTCACAACCCTCTGTCTTAAGTCTCGATAGAGTCAATATCCAATTCCTCTTTCCTTCGCCTGATAAGCAGCTTAGCCTGGAGATCAGGCAAATAAGCCATCCCAAAACCTGACGGCTTAGGAACTACACCATCCGCCAGCTTCCAATCATACTTCAAGAGCATATGACACAACGCGATCTTGATCTCATTCGCCGCAAAGAAGCGCCCAGGGCACGCATGATTGCCATGACCAAAGCCCAGGTGATCAAAGCTAGTGCTGACAAGATGAGGATGCTTGTCTTGCTCAGATGCCTCCCGCATTCGCAAGAAACGATAGCCGTCAAATTTTGCAGCTTCTTCATAGTAATCGCCGTTCCACATGTGAGTTGTATCGCAGACAATCTTTTCTCCTTTCTTGATCACATCGCCATTTGGAAGAGTGATGTCTGCCATAGCCTGCCTTCGAAAGGAGCCTGGAAAAGTGGTTAGACGCAAGGTATAAATTGTGGGATACTTGCTGAGCCACTTACCGAGTAAAACTGGCCGCAATCTCTGAGACTCTTTGATGACACTGTCCATGAGCTTCAGATTATATAGGGCTGTCTTCTTGAGTCCCTCTGTACTCAAAACATTCGTGATCTCTTCGCGAAGAGGCTGGAATAAATCAGGATGCTGAGCAACATTGAACAGCGTTTCCATGAGCAAATCGGACGTTGTGTGGATAGCCACGAGCGACAATGAGATTTGTAGGAGTGCTGGGTTACGTGTAGAGCCTTCTTTCTTGTACCATTCGATCGAATCGTCGAAAGGCGATGGCTTTCCCAGTGATTCAGCCTCTGCTGAGATAACACTGCGACGTTCAAGATGAGGCTTAAGACATCTGATTGCTTTATCCAATTTCTTACGCAGCGTCCAGCATGATGGAAGAAACCAATGCACAAAGGGTCGAGACCATCGAGGATACGTCCGTAGAATGTCGCCCGTCTTGAAGGACTGAACGGTATAATCACCGCTGGATCTGACCCATTCGTCGTCGCGGCAGAGGGCTTCACCCATGAATACTCGTGATGACATACGCGATACGATACGCACTATGTCATGCTGAGGGTGCATTTCATGCCATTCTACAACGTGCGGCAAGATTAGTCTCTATTCGACCCCAGAGGTATCTATGGAAGATACTTACCAGTGGAGTCAGTAAGAACTTGACGAAACGCCAGAGATGCCTCATCAGAGAGTGGTGCCGTGAGCTTAGCTGAGCCAAAAGAGTTAGTATGTCTTCGGTCATGAACAAACAGGAAACCAACTCAAAGATTTGGTCAAGTACTTGGTCACAACTTTAGATATGTTGGGCTCAGAAACAAAGGGATCAAATCCGGGAACATATGCATGAGAGTCCTGCTGAAAATCAGTCCCTACGATCAGGGAGCCACTATGAGAAGTAAATCGTACATCTTCAGCAGGAATCGTAAAGTCCAACTGCTTGTGGCTCTTCAGGGCATCGAGAAACTTGGGTGGAATCACGATTACTTTTCCCCAGTCTGTGTACGCTCTGTAAGGCTGGTCCTTATACAAAGCTCTGCCAGTTGTGAGAATATTCTTGCTGTCGACAATGAAGTCCTGAGTTGCACGGTTGCTGGTAAGCTCGAGTGACTTTTTCGGATTCAAGACCGGGAACTTTGTAACATGGCCGAGTAAAGAGTATCGTATGACGAATAGAGTGAATAAAGTGACGCCACAAAAGATGGCATACTGGGAGTTGCCCAGAAGGAGATCTAGATAAGACGACATGAGAGATAATTGCTGAACTCTGGGACTGTCCTGTCCTGAGCTTGATGAATAGATATTCTTCTCATGATGTATAGATTATATACTTTGAGATCCGATATACGATCGACAGAACTGGATCTGTAGTGGCGTAGATGATCTGCAGTTAGTGCCGCCCGAAGACCCGAAGCTCATATGACGGGGACCTTCATGGGCCCGACCCCGAGCATGTTCTCAACTACCGAGGCATCTGAAGTGGATATTTCGTAAAAACTTGGCGAAATTACTCTTTGAAACAGAACTTCCCCCCGTTGAATGACTCGCTTCAGTGGGTGATGTAACGGTATCGACGCCCATGCATGCAATGCGGTGGAGAGGAGAGTATCTGGACCAGGACAGGTTGTGTGCACGGGCATGACCGCTGTGGACCCGTCGTATTCGTTTGGCGACGATCGACCAGTCTGGAGCCGTTTACGAATACTCACTATCGAGATACGATGATTCATGATGCATTTCTTTGCAAACAGTCCGCTCTTGGTTGGCTGCATAAGAGTGGTCTCAAGTTGGGTTACAACCTGCATCTAAACGTCTATCTATATGTGCAAGTTCCGCGGACTTCATGTACAGCCCGAGCCATTCATCATTGCCAGTTCTTTGCATCATTGTTCGGGTCCTGAGACAGAAGGAGTCCGAAGTGTTGATGCAAGTATCCTGACTCTTCTGTGGTCAAGGTTTATCTTGTGACATGAAGTTTACGATATAGCCCAGCAAGATACAATAATGTAATGGGAGAAGAGCCGAACTACGCCAAGGCCGGCAGTTTATAAAAGAGTATCACAGGTTAGGCCCACCAGTAGCAGGCAAATGACTTCGGCTCGTTGATTTTCAAGAACGGCTAATCTACCCTCTGATACTGTTTATAGCCGGTGACTTCTTGCTGGAAGAGGAGAATAGATACCGGCTTCCGTAACTTGACAAGAAAAAGGAAAAGAGCTCTTGAGTACCACGGTCTGCAGTCCTGTGAACCCTGCTGAGTTGGTCAATGGTACCTCATCACACCACCGTTCTTATCATTAGCCTCCAAGTTCTTAATTGAACCGTTTGGGTATTTCTGCCCCATGATAGGGCTTTCTGAACACCCCGTCACCGAATATTCGTCACGTAATTTCAAGGCTTGTTGACCAATATCCTTCTCATGATAAGACTCAAGACCTTGCCAACATGGGATAGTGAGGATGATTAGATCCCCTACATTGGGGAGGACATCTATTAGCACGGTTCTTGCAAGAATGATGCTGCATACCTCAGTTCATGACTCAGTAGCTTGGCTTCTAGTTCTTGAAGACCACAAAACTACGGCAGTGATTGCGTAAAGAGACTGTAGTTGGAGTTAGCAGGTAGACTACATAGACTTAAAGTGCATACACTCACCCCACATATGTAGTAAGGAACACCCCCTAGTAGAAACGGTAGGTCTTCGCTAATACTCCATTGATAGATCGGGTATAAAACACCAATTCCAAGCAACGTTCCGGCGCTCTCGATCGATGCCAAAGTCATCATGACAGTTCCTGCATCGGAGCTACTAAAGCTACACGACGCAAAGGCAAGCAGGCTCAGATCAGTTGCAACACCAAGAGTATTTATCACAAGGGCTTGGAACTGGTCTTAGAAATGACATCTTTAACTTTTGGGTACGACATACCTGCTGTGATGGAACGTAGAGAACCTGATAGACCTATCATGAAGGCACCAATCGAGATAAATAAAACGCTGGCTCGGGCGGCGTGAAGGTTGATACTGTTAGGATATGGGACCCTCGGTGCAGTGCGCAGAACAATGCCTGGTAAGATGATGCCAAAAATGACAACACTCATGACACTGCGGAGAAGCCATAAATCCGCAGCCTGGATACAGAATTGGGGTAAGTAATGGTGCGTATGAACTAGATATACGAATTCATATGCGTACCTCTGTAGGACTAACATCGTCTCTATGCTGAATGTATGCTTTGAAAAGTGGCCGAGTTGATTTGCAAATAGCCATGAGGAAAAATATTTGTGGCAGAAATATTAGACCCGAAGTTCTGATAAGAGACGTCTCGCCAAAGCATCTAGACAAGTACTCCGTAACCGAAATGTTGAGGCTCTTAAGCTCAACATCGTTTTGGTGATTAGGCAGCAAAGAAGTGGATTCACCATGACTAGAATTATTGCTCTCGCAAGGCGTGAATTTCATTGAGTCAACGATCCAAAAGCCGATAAGGCAGCAGGTTCCAGACAGTATTCCCGGTAGGAGGTGACTGGAATCAGCGAGGTTGGACGCAAAGAATGGACCTAAAGCCTGAGCCACGACTGAAACAGCTCCAGTGTAGTAGTAGCTTGCGAACCTGAGAAACCATCAGCATAAAGTCATAAACGTTGGGATGCGAAGGATGAGGGAGCAGACCGGTATTGAGGGGCCTGATCATGGAGTATGGAGAGTATGAGAAATGATGAGGCATGAGACCCTCCACCGATACATCTTACTAGAGGGCCTACTACGGCAACCAAGATAGGCCATTGCTGTTCGTAACATACTATAGCTATTATTAGTTTTGAGTTTGTGAGGGTTGTTTGCTTGATAGCTGCATACAGCTCAACAATGTGACAAAACTGGCGACAAAGATACTCGTGGCGTTAAGATTCATGGCATGATGTTTAGACTTGGTGTTGAGAAGATAGCCAATCATAAATTGGCCTATAATATCTGTGCTTTATGTCAGTAATCAAGCCACATTTAGCTGGGGTCGCTCGCTAAAGATGAAGCGCCAACTCACCAGACACGCCTTTGAGCACAAGAGCCGCGGTCCCCAGATTCCAGTGACCCGACTGGGTTTGAGCGTCATCGGCGAGAGCGGGGAAAAGGCTGTCGGTGACGGAGTCGCCTAAGGTCATGAGACCCAAGAAGACCAATGCCAAGCAGGCGACTTTCGTATCAGACCGCATCATGTTTACAGCTGGGTACTAGCAAGACGTGGAATCAATTGATCGCAAGGCATCCTGGCTTATTTACCGGGCGAGAGCAGGTGAGAGCACTGATGTCAGAGAGAAGGGAGAAGAAGAAGGGAAAGTATATTGGACAAGACCTCGGAAATGGCGAAGACGTGAGGCCACACACTTCCCGGCAGCGGGGAGCAAACCAACGGCGTTCGGGAAAGACAATTCAGGATGGTTGCCACACTGCAAGGATATCAGCTGCAGAGGGAACAATGTATCACGCTGCCCCATGTCACATAATCACATTCAGATATGCAGGGTGATGGAAGCAGACGAATCAGAGGCGTCAAAGATAGACAGGCTGTGTTAGACTTCATGCCCGCAGGTGAATTTCCGCAATCTAGTTCTTGATGGCCTCTATCATGTAGCTTCAAAAAGGCGGAAATTCAATCGGAAAACATTAGAATACTTAAACTTTCATACTTTCCGACGCTAAGGGGATAGAACTCTGGCAGGGCGATGAGTATGAAGATGAATAGTGGTATAAGAGAGCTCGGTAGCAGACTCCCTTGCTGCTGTAAAGAAGCAAGTAGACTAAAATCATTTCTGAATATCCAACAAAATTGCGTGTACCCAGCCAGCCAGCACACATACCGCACTGTTACCTGATCCATTACAAAATGGGTGAGACAGCGGAACGTGTTAATAACAAGGTCAGCAGCACTCACCCGCTTGTGTAGCCAGTCGTGCTGACCATCGCCGCAGCCTGATCCAAAGAGCTCCAAGGAAAAGATCACACGCGTCGCGTTACACAGCTTGAAGTTGCTCTCGGAGCAAGATACTCCAATCTCGATGTGGCTCCGACATCCCGATGACCCTTTTCCCTACGCGCGGCGCCGAAGTACAAATGAGAGCATGCCAAAGGTGAAGCTGTGACAGGCATTGTCTCACCAGCCACCAACTGTCAGCTGAGGTGCTGAGGCCACCTCTTGCAAGGGAGGACAAGACAGAAATTGTTGGCAAAGCAATTAGGTTGGGCTTGAATTATTGTAAAAAGATACCCAGATTATGGAGTGAATATACAGTATATTTGTAAGTGCCAAGAGCAAATTCTGCCTTGCCCCTGAGCTAAGATCGGTTACCCGCAGATCCACCCGATAGTGTCGGAGCTTTACAGGGAATTTATGCGCAGGGGCGTTTTGATGACGGCTAGATGAATGTATCAATAGCCCGCCACCAGAATGGCGGTGTTGGCAGGTCTAGGAACGAATACAACGCAGCAAGAGATTCCCAGCACTAGCCCGGAATATTCTCATATAGTTTGATAGCGGAGGTATTTATAGAATAAAAATCTGGTCTAACCCAAAATTAATCTCTTGGTGTAGTGATAGTTCAAGCTCTCAACATCATCCCTCCGGAACTCGTTTGGGGCACACAGTTCCCTTTTGTAGACTGCTATCTGATTAGTATCTAGTATTTCAAGTCGGAGGGGCAATTTACTCACTGGACTGGGGATCCTGCAGGTCTTTTTGTATACCCTTAATCAGTGATCGAGCATGCAAACTCTGACCCAGGAGTCCTTGGTTTGAAGGTTTTGTCCAGTCCATGGCAAACAGCGCATGCCCATTCGTCACAATACGGAAATATGTCGTCAATGTATCTGCGATATGTTTGTTCTGGCCATAGTAATCACATGGATCTCTCCTCAAAGGCCAACGGGTCCCCCCTTCGCGGTTCTTCTCGTACTCCCAGGCGTGCATGTTCCATGAGTCTTTCTCGAGACTATGTAAGAGTATGAAAGTTGTTAAGAAGATGGCACACCAGTACGTGCTTCGGTCACGGCGGAGGATCACGTCTTGAAGTCGTCCAAGGATCTCTCGCTCAAGTTCATCCATACGGATCTCGAAGGCCTTGTCAAGTTGTTGGTTGACAAGTCGCGGGAGTAGTGTCTTTCCAAACCAGCATCCAGGGATATTCAGCGGCCACATACCTATATCCGAGGCACCTTTCACTATCGTCCAGGGATACTTGAAAAATACAGTCTGCATGGCCCAGAATCGTAGCGCAAGCTGTACCAAGCTGATCTATATCAAGTTAGTCCTAAGTCATGCGCGCGAAGAGTCATGAAAGGCAAAATGGCCAGCGATGGAGATACATACCCCTTCTATACTAGGCATTTGTTGAGGCCCTGCACATTGTGTCGTGGCAAACATGAGGATATGACTGGCCAGTCTATTCCTATCCGTTGCCTGCCGTCCTTCATTCAGTGCTAAATCGAATGCGAGGCGATCACAATAAGCATCGATCTTCTCCGGCCTTAGAGTGCCGTCTTCCAGAGAGAATGCTGTGCTCTCAGCGCGGGGAGTAATCCTTCCAGCTTCAGTCCCGCGAAACAGGACATGAGTGAGAGCACCTTGGCTGTAAGGTATGTACGGCTTCAGTGTCACTTGCAATGTTGGCATAAATCCATTTGAGATCTTAATAGTTACTGTATTACAGGGTTCTATCGGGAACCATCCAGCGACGTTGTCGAGTAAAGATTGAATACGTGTTTGGTATAAGCCTACAGTATCTTAGCATTGAACTTTGTACTAGACTTGATGACTGACTATGAAGTAGAGTTCGCGACCCTTTGAAATCTGCGGGAACACAGAGCTCCGGATACATAGATGAACACGACTCGCAAGTCTTTTCATTACCATGGCACTTTACGTTTGTCAGCTCTCTCCTGAACTTCGAGGATTCCACCCTCACTTTTCTTTTCTGAATTTTGCAACGAGCACAACTTGGCCGCTCACTCGGTCTTCCGCGCCTAGGTCGCTTATCAGACTGTTTTGCCAGGTTGTTTTGCATCAACCGATCAGTTTGACTGATGGAACGCTTGGACGAAGGTTTGAAGCTTCTTTGGGGCCAAGAATCGTGGTGCCGTACTGGAGGAATCTCGAGTCTTTGTCCCACCTGTCTGGACGCTGCACCATGGTGTCTAGAGGCAGGACTAGCTGTGATAGTGCGTGTGCTGCCTGTCGTAGATGATTCAACAGAAACTTCATCGGGACAAGGCTCTTGTAACGATGGGCTATTAGTCGGCAGAGTGATCGTTCCGGATGAGGGACTTGGAATGGGAATCTGTGAAAAGGGCCCATCCTCATAAACTGCATATTCGAAGTCTGGAAATTCCAGTGCTTGAACATTTTCGAAGCCAGGAGGCTGTTCATCCGAGAACACATCCAAGTCTGTCATCAATGGGACATCGTGGTTCACAGGACCAGCATTTTCAGGGGAGACGAGCGAAAGTCCAGCGGCAGAAACAAAATTCTGGCAAATTTTTTAGTTTTATATTGACTAGATCTACCTGATTCATACGTACGTTTGAAGGGTAAAAGCCTTGGCTCCCCTGCGCTATCAAGTCGCCTGTGAGTTCGTCAAGCTTGGACCTTGCGAGACTCTGAATGGCTTCCCAGGCAAGGCTCTTGTCAATACCAGCACCTCCGTGTCTCGTTACAATTGATGTAACGGCTTCTTCGACAACGCTGCCCAATTCAGCGGCGAAGCGGACATGGTCTCGGCGGAAATCGCCATTCGCGTAGCTGAATGGTTCAGTCCCATCGCATACGTCACTCGCAGATCGAGTATCCCCACCGGGGCCGGAGATTATACTAGAGTTAGGTGAAAAGTGATGTGACATGGCTAAATGATGGCCAATGTGAATGAGAAAGTTGTGTGACGGTTAGACCAAGTCTACGAAACTGCCTGTGAACACTTTACACATGTCCGATGGTTGGTAGCACTCACTACAATCGTAGACTCCTCAGTGGTTTCTTGTAACATTTCCTTCTACCATGTGATCCTCCTTAATTAACTGATGACCGCGAGAAAATGGAGGGCGTGACGGTGTCAGGTTGGACGACCTACGGAGGCTGCTCACTTGCAGAACATGATTGATGCGGAGGACATCCTCCGTTTGGTTAAGATGTACGACATGTATGTCTCAAGCCGGCTTATTTCATGCGATGTGGCTTTTGCACATTGAGTAAATCCGTTGGGTAGCTGCAAGAGGCCAGAATAAGCAATGTGTTATCTTGGTGTGTTACACGACCCAGGGTGAAATCATATCACCTTTCTTAAGTGTCAGACCAGTTTTGAGGACCAGAGAAGACCTGGGAAATTGGAAACTCCTGTCTTATATCTGTTTTATTCAAGGTTTGAGGTCAATGCTAAAACTTTCTAGCAAAGGGACTAAACCATGCAGAAAATGACTCCAAATAATAATGATGCCAGCGTGCATATGTTGCCCGCTCCGAAACGAGGCTGTGCGAAGCCACTCAGCAAATGCTGACGCGGGCATATTTCTTTTCGAAGTCGGTGTGCAGGGAATGCTGCATGGATCAGCCTGGAATCACCATAAATGGCATGCCCATCACTCCATCAGTCTTTTGTACATGCATCCACTGGCCCGAGATACCTATATCCGAAGTGACGAAAATATTTAGACAATTTTAGAAGATCTTTGCATCTCTTTAGGCCAGTTTATTCTTGTTTGTCGATGTGATATCGGAAGCTTTTGCGCTCCCCGAGGATAAGATACATGCACCGTGCATGCAACCGATTCTAGAGCCTCATGACCCGAGGTAAAGCGGCCAAGTCACATCCATTTCCGACCAGTTTCCTTGTTCCCAGATACTGTGCATTTTTCAACGTGAGGCTCCGCGTGGACCTTGATGTCATACAAGTCATGGGTAGGGTAGGCCTCAAGTTAGGCATCGGATATAACTGATGGACATGAGTGGTCGAATTGCAGCATATAACCGGTAAATTATTGATGAAAGGTGGGAGTCATCAACAGAGTTGGATGGCCAAGTGCTGATGTACGTGGGATGATGGGTGGAACGAAGTTTAGACTCAGAGCCTCATAGGATGAGGCCATAAAATATGATGTATCGAGGCCCTCGTTCTAACGCTATCGGAAAGTATCAACGTTAGCTAAACCAAATCAGCTACTAATTTCAGTTTTTCCGATAATTCCCACGTTTTCTATTTGCACAACAGCTTACCAACATGTGGCACATTGACGTATTCAACAGCTTGTCCACGCTGGGCGAGTCCAACAAACTTCTCAGTGAACGCTTGGCCAAGCTCGGAGACAGAGCTGACCTGGCAGAACTGAGGTGAGGCCCTCCAGTTTGCGTCTACCAGACATTCCTTCTCATGATCAATGCAGAGACATCTTTCAACAGTTTGAGGTTACTGGCACGGTTGGCCTCGCCCTGCTTCACAAACACTTCTCCATTGAAGAAGGCGAGCGTGTTGTGGAATTCGGCCACGTTTCAACCCCATGGCCTGTTCCTCCAGATGGCAGAATGGCCGGAGGCTACCTAGTCCCACGGTCGTGGCGCTTTTGGGATGATATGCTGGAGCCATATGAGTTTGGCTTCAATCATCCTGGCCAAGAGGAGTATAAGGACGTCCCCTTGCCAGCTGGGTTTGCGGAACGGCTTCGTGCCTTTTTGGCTGAGACAAATCTCTTGGATGTCCTGGGGATCTGCGTCATTGGTGAAGATGAAATCGTCGGTCGCATCGAGAAGAATCGAGGCCGTGTCAACTTCACTGTGCCTGCCTCTAGGCCTGAGGACCTCAGCGTTGATCTCACCCCAACCCATAGTCCGTCTGTCTGGTCTTTCGATTGTAAGAGTGGTCTGAATGATTCCACAATCAAACTTGCACGGGCTTGTTGGGTCTGTCCAAAGCATGTTTAACCGTGTTATAAGAAGTATGAGCGCAGCTAGTTCAGATAGTCAGAACATATCCATGTGACTTCGAGGTGATCTTTAATTCAGTGAATATTGACTCGATAGTCATAAAGGACTTTCTCGATGCTTTTGACCTTTTCGCGTATGCGTCTGCTGTCTCCCTCACTATATCAGAGTTTCGATGCAAGCCATACAAGGAGTCCAAGTACGAGAAAATACGAGAGCTGAGATAATGTTAGCCCGCCACGACTGGGTTACATGCTGATTCGATGTAACTTACTGCTGAAACCAAGAAAGGAAGCCCAATATTGTAGTTGATGCCCAAAGAATAGGCAGCTCCCATGACGGGCATGCCAACGAGGCTACCAATCGTTCCTGTCATAGAGATACCCGCGAACAACCGCCCTGAAAAGGCATTATGCACATTTGAAGCAAGGAAAGATCGCAATGTGACGGTCATGCTTGATCCCAGGACCGATAGTGCAAATCCAATAGCAACTGTCGCAAGGTTTGGTGCGGCTGCGACGACGAGAGTGCCCAATGTGCAACAAAGAGCACCAGATGCAGAAAGTGTAAGATCTCTGTTTGCACTTGGCCAAGCCTGGTCTATCCAAGAAGTTGCAAGAGGCAAAATAACAAAGTATAGAAGAGATGACATGATTGCGCGTAGTGAGAACAGAAGCCCGGCCTGTGACATGGTTAATTAAAAGCCTTGTTGTTGAGTGAGCCAGCATACCCGAGCCATGGTCTCCTCAAAGCGTAAAGATACCCAAGGGATTAAGTAGTTCGTGGAGTCCCTTGCTACCTGGAAGAAAAAGAAGCAGATAAAGCATATACCGAATATAACGGCTCGTGAAGGGAGCAGGACCCTGGCAGTGTGCTCTAAGTCAGTCTCTTCGCGATACGGAGCGCTGTCGACACTGAGAAGTGACTCTGTCTCAGCCGGTGATGGCCCAACATCCTCCATGTCGCTCACTGTGTTCTCACGAATATAGCTCGCTGGAAAGAACATCAAAGAGAATACCACGAGTGCGAGAGAAAACGGAATCTCGAGGTGAATAGTCATCGTCATTGTGCCAACGATTGGCCCGACGAGGTCCGCGATCCCTGATATTGCCTCGATGATTGAGAACGCCGCTGTTCTACGACGGTCATGTTAGTTCTGGGGTTGGGAATGATGGGAATTGCGGTATACCTTTGTTCTGGCTTGACACTGTCACTAACAGCAGCGAAAACAAGCGTGCCAGTTACCCATGGTCCTCCTCCAAAGAGAATGAATACTGGAGAGAGATAGAAGCACCAGAGCGGAAGGTGTTGCTGCGATCCTATCAAGATGAGTAGACCTACTTCAAGGGCGATGAGGGACGCCATACCTACTATTGCTATGCACCCCCAATAGAAGATAGTACTGGTGGCATTCAGCATGAAAGCAAGGCGGATGCCGCCTTTGTCCCCAAGTATTCCCATAGGGACTTGCATCATCGTCGCTTTGCACCGTCAGCTTTTGCCTCGGAGGGATGTTGTGATTTTGCATACCAGCCAAGGTTGATAGTGTTGACAGCACAGTTATCACGAATGCGAAATGCACTTGTACCTCCTTGCTCCTGCAAAACTCGTCTGTTGGCTCTCCATTAAGAAGCTGCCTGTCTTTCTCAAAATGGTGCCGACAAACGGCTGTCTCTAGAAGCATTGGCGAAGGGGCAGCAAGGATCGCACAACCGAGCTCCACGAGAAATAAAAGAATCGTGCAGAGCCAAAAGTTCATGGGATACTGTCGAAAGCCTCTGACATAGTCTATGGTCGAGATCGGGGGCGTACCCTTGCGGCAATCACATCTGCCTTTTATAGGCATTTTTTGTGGTGATAGAACCTTGTCCTGGCGTGTATAACATTTAATGTTCGGATTTTCCCAGTGAAGGTGAGCGCGATAAGTTTATTGTCAGGCTGCGAGGGCAGGCCGCCCTTTAAAACATCTTACCTGCATGATAATAGGACGCACATCTATTATAGGCATCCAGCGGGCAAATCACACCGGAGTAGTAATCTGAAACATGTACATGTGCATGTGCATTCAGGCTGTAGCAGTCATCCAAGTTAGGAATAAAACCTCTCACATTGAATGGTGCTAGAATAAACTGGTCTAAGGCTCTCCAAATATGCTCTAAACTTAGCTAGACTTTACTTAATTCATCTAGTCTTTACTTAAGTTAGGCAAAGGGAGGAGATTTAGTCACAAACGAATAATAGAATTGTGTAATGACGCTGTTATATTGATGTTTATAAAGATGTATTAAACACCTTCACCGCTTGGATAATTATATATCCGGTGCCGCACAGCACTGCCCCAAGGAATCCCGCTGCCCCAACCCAACCCGAGACTATTTTCGCCTCCACCTCCACCTCCCACGGCTCGCGACTCCCGCTGTCAGGGGCGGTCAAGGCCGATGGTAATTGCCAGCCGACGGCGGTCCCCGGGGATGCTCCCGCTGAGCTACTAAATGAAGCAGGGCAGTTAGAATCTCGTTCGTTGGATCAAAGGGATGATAAAAGACTTACGGAGGGGCGGGCATCTGCGGGGGATCCGCCGCGGCATTGGCGGCCTGACCCTGGCCGGCGGGAGGAGACGCATCGGGGAGGGGAGAGCTTGTCGGGGGGTTGGGGGGGGTTGGGGGATCGGGCTGTGGGCACCGGAGAGCGAGTGTGGTTTTGTATAGTAAGCTAGGTGTATAAGTTAGCACAGTGAATCATAGTGGTAAGAAGGCTGGGAATCATGGTGGTGAGGAGGCTGTGAATCAGAGCTGGGTAGAGTTCAAGGTAGGGAGACATACTATTAGTCCATTGTGATATTTCTGAAGAAGAGAAAAGGAAAAAGAAGAGACAGAATGGCGAGGACGAGATTAAGTATATTGATGTCTATCAAAACGAGCAAGTGCGTCCTTTCCAACTCATGCAGCTCGACAAGTTCATTCAGATCAGGTCAAGCATATCGCCTTCCTCAGTTCCCCCCTTTTCCCTCTCCTTTTCCATTCCTTGAGTGGTACATTCTTTCCGAGGCCACGGCCATAAGCCTTCCAAAGGAGTGTCGTCCAAAATGTAGTTTGCGTTGACCTCCGGCTTCTCAATCATAAAATTGTATGCCCAGCATCGCGATTTGAAATAATCCGATGCATAACATTGATATACTTTGTCCGCTGAAAGATGCTCAACGCGGAAGTTGGTTACAATAGGGCAACTGAGTGTCGTGACCACCAAACTCCCTTTCCAACTGGGCCCGGTAAGAGTAAAGCGACGGTCATAATAGTATGTGTTGTGCTCCTGCTGATGGGGACGCATGGTCAAGCAGCTCTCCTCCACAATGACGTTCTTCTGAGACACGTACAGCCCTTTCCTCATCAAGCCGACAATATCTGACGTATAAAGTACGAGGCGGGCTTGCCAGCCGGTGGTCAGGTTCACCAGCGGGACTTTCCCCCTCAACATGTCGGGGTCAGATCCAAACGACAGATCTACCTTCCATGATTTGGTTCCGAAAGATGAAGAAAGGTTCGGGAGTGAAGGGGGTGGGGGAGTAGAAGCTCGGGTTATGAAGTCGAAAAGGCCCATATCTTCTGTTGTCGGTGCGAATTTTTTGTGATGTCGGTGGGCACAATTAGACGAAAAAGACTCTCTGGTGATGAAAAGGGAAGAGATTCTCCTAGTGGAAAGAAGACCACTTACGTTCTTATATACCCGGGCACAGATAAGTTTTAATATACAGTTTTTCGAAGCATTTGCACGGGACTATGATTTGCAGTTGAGAGAGCTTATATCGCACACAGAACTTAGTATAGTGCGTTCTTTCTGACATCCAACGTTTTCTTTGGTCAAGATACTTAGCCTCCGTACTTCCAGTCCTGGATGACCCAATGGTTGGTACAACAACTTTATTTTTCTAGCGAGTCATTAAGAACTATGTAGTTGACTGCCGCCAATAAGACTAGGCTTTGGGCTGCGAACACAGGTGACGAATGAGATTGAGTGGTAAAGTGAGTTCTGTATATAAAGTTTCGGCGTTGGGTTCAGAGCTTAAACTCATTCTTAAAGCTTTATCTTGGTATCCAATTACCCATTGGAAAGCTCAAAACACTAAATAAACTTCCTCTGCCGAGCATATATAAATGTCAGTCTGACCGCGCACCTATACTCATTACATTTTCTATGTTCACCATTTATTATCCGATCTCTCCCGAAACCTCACTATCTTGCAAACGCAGGCTTGGAAGATGTCGTCTCTCATCAAGACAAGGATTCTTATCCTGTCAGATACTCATGGATTACGCTTCGAGGAGGATAAGAAACCACTCGAACCAGTCGACCTTGTCATCCATTGCGGTGACCTCACGGAAGATTCCAAACTGGAAGGCTTCCGAGAAGCGATTCAACTTCTCAAGGGAATCGATGCCCCTACCAAGATTGTTATTGCAGGAAATCATGACTTCTCTCTTGACGACGGGGTCTTCAAGCACAAGATTGCAGAAGCAAGCAGAGTAGCACAAGAGGACCTCGAGCAAAGCATCAAGGATGAGTATGGAGATTACGGTGAGGCTAAGAGGCTCTTCACTGAAGCAGACCATAGTATCATATTCCTCGACGAAGGAACGCATGAACTTCATCTCCAGAATGGCGCATTGGTAAAGGTTTATGCAAGTCCATATACTCCTGAAACAGCCGGCAGCACGGATTGGGGTTTTCAGTACAATGGGGCCCATGAATTTTCTATTCCAAAGGGTACCGACATTGTGGTGACACATGGCCCGCCGCATGGCATGATGGATATGACGCCAGAAAGGCAACGAATCGGTTGCCCTCAGCTATTCTCTGCCATTGCAAAATCACAGCCCCGGATCCACTGTTTCGGACATGTGCACAACAGTTGGGGTGCGAAGGTCGTTTCTTGGCGACCACGGATTTCAGAAAATCCATCTCATTTCAGCGACATCGACAATGCAAAGTCGCGGGTTGTCGAGAGTTTGCCGCGACTACAGGGGACCAAGTGGGAGTCCCCGGAAGACAGAAAAGCCAGGGAAAACAAATTACAGCGATATGAGTCTCAAAGATGTTGTGTCGCCAGTGACTGCCAGGGCGATGAAGAGCGCCTGCCTCCGGGGAAGACCTTCTTCGTCAATGCGGCACTGATGGGAGACAAGGGGCTCTCGCAGCACCCGTGGCTCGTAGACATTGAGCTTGAGCGCCATTCAGGCGAAGGAAATTCTTCAAGTGGCAACGCAATGCCGGAAAAGGGACATAACATCCAGAAGCGAAAGGCTGCCATGGCTGTCAGTGGAGACGGAGAAAGTAAGAAAGCAAAACGCGATCTAAATGATGATTCCAAGAGATAATTCCAAGAGAAAAACCTGAAAATTGAATACGTGTTACATATCAAATTACGAAGTCCCAATCAGTCAGATAACAAATTTCTCCCGTCTTCGTTTTTCTGCTGAATAAGGGATAGAGATTTAACTCAGGGGATGTTGTCATTTAAGTAATTTATTCCTTCAGTAACCTTCACCCTCATAAGCCACGTCCGCTGTGCTTCAAAGCTCAGCGATCAACATTCAAGAGAAGTAAGAACACTATAATTATTGACTCATGGTATAGTTAATGGCATCATAGTAGACTTGTTAAGCTCATGATCCCCTTGTGAGGCGCTCACAGAACACGATAGAATATGAGATTAATCAAACCGTGACAGACACTCGTGAAGGCAAGAACTACACTGGTGAGTATATACCCATATAATTGAGGCTATATCTTGTGTTCTTGCTGAACTTGAGATACTACGATTGATCTTCTTATGATGGCAGGAACTTCTGAAGCCAGGTGCTTATCAGAACCTTCGAGAGGATATTGATGGGACTCTTCTTTTCTCCCCAGAACATCATAAACAATACTTTTGTACGTGATAAATAACCCTTCTGCATTCCTGGTAATGAAAGTTATTTGACTGTCTTGCTAACTAAAGCCCAGATGAATACTTATATGAACCCGTGTCCCAAGCGATCCAAGCTCCCCCCTGGTACCCAGCACCCATCAACATACTCCAGTAAGTCGAGTCTCTTTCCCATACGACTATAGTATACTGACAAACCATCAGAGGCCCTGAACCTCTCTCGCCCCCTCCATAATGCCGAAGTCCAACCAAACCATCCCTGCACCACTGCGCGAGGCACTCTTCGAGTGCTTCGACGCCGCCACCCGCCTAGTCCGGAAGAGCTTGCGTCGTCAACTAGTTCTAGTAGGCGGCGCAGCCAGCATTGCCCACTCCTCGGTCTAGCGAACTGAGGACGTGGATGTTGCGGCCCCTCCCGCAGCGCTAATCGACATCTGGGAGGGTGTCTCTTCTGGCGCCCAAAGCTTCAGTCTCGAGTCCGACGGCAAGATCGCGTTCGATGCTCCTCAAGGCTTCCGTATCCGACTCGACCTCATCGAAATCGGTAACGGATGCATCGAACGGATCCACGTGGCAGAGCCCTTCCGAGGTGCTTCTGTCGCGTCCATGTCGGATCTCCTGAGGCTACGGGCCGTGACGGTGGTTGAACGTGGGAGTGATGGTGAGGTTGACGACTTTCGATGGCTGTTGGAGTGTGTGGCGAGAGAGGGTCAAGTTCTCCCAGGGCTCGATAATCAAGAGCTGGAGTATGTGATGGGTGCAGGGGCTAGCTTGGGGGTATTGGATCGCTTGGTGTTGACAGCCGTGTTGGGCGCCAACAATGGCGCGGCCGCTTGCGGCCTTCTTTGATTCTTTTTTTTTTTTTTTTTTTTTTTTTTTTTTTTGGAACACAAATATCAATATACCAGCGATGGACACTCGTTACACCATTGGGCAATTTCTCTGGACTTGTGAATGCCGTGCAAGCAACAACCGACTGTAGAAGAAGGAAGGTGGTTGTAGATTTCATGATGAACAGATGTATTGAGGTATAGGAGCTTTGAGTGAAGGAATAGTCTGAGACTGAAAGACGTGAGTGGCAGGAATTAATAGCCATGAGTGGCAAACTGAAGCTTTGTATATTTCTTGCTCTCGTCTTCGAAGGCTAGTTTTCAAGAGGCATAGCGATAGGATCACCAAAGTGAGAATAGAGCTACACAATTGTACCTTATGACCTCCATTTGGTTTGGGACAAACCGACAAAGGATCTCCGCAGATTCCAACATTGTCGTCCCAATGCGTAGAGTGCCATGCCGTCTTATCCGACTCGAGTGAAGGGCCAATGATACAAGGTATCCATGTGATAGGATTGACTGATATGAACCTGCTGTGTCCGCTAGCCAGCTCAAGGGTCAAAAGGTCCTTCAAGATGCGGCTGAATGCTCTTTATATAGTATCTAGGTATACAAGCTCACCGCCTATGCAGTTGCCGCCGGTTGACAATCCAATATACACTCATGCCATTGCATATTAATAGTTATTCGAGCTTAGTCGGTGTAACACTAGCTTGCGGCAGAGTATTCTTTCGGGTCACAAAAATGCCTCAATGAGATGGAGTTAACAAAGGCTAGAATATTTACGTCTCTGAGACTGACATTATCTCTAGTCAAATCTCGCTACTAATCACTGACTCTGATTTCCAGACGCGATCAAATGTCACATGGATGCAGGCTCGGGGTGCGTCAAGCCGAAGTGGCATTCTCCTCGGCATCATCGACCTTCAGACTATAATCTAATCAAGTGTTTCCATATATGATAGTGATATGCCATCCTTGGCCAGAAATGACTGCTAGTATCTCACTCTTGATATCCAAATCCTCACTAGCTAGCCAGCTCCCAATCCGCTTCGGCCCAAGGCCTTCCATGCGTCTCTTTTGCCAATTCAGACATTGACATCCAAGTCGATAAGCCCCCTGCTACCTGCACTATATCATTCTGATTACCTATCCCATCATTAGAATGGTTGATCTTGCCCTCGCCCATCAAGAACCGTAGATACCGCTCTGGCGTAGGCGATGGCTTCGCCAGTACACTGGCCTTGTATTTTTCAAGCGGCACACTCGTCACTTGAACACGATCTGCCCCGTTCGCTTCCATGATCTCTGCTATCTCAGTCATGGACTTGCAGTCACCGCTGAAACACACCTCAGGTCGTATGGTACCGACTGGTTGACTTGCGAGTATGGCGATTGCCTTGCCAACGTCGTACATACTCGTGTACGAAGTCTTCTGCGCAGGGTCCCCTATAGCCTCATATCTGCCCCCTTTGGTATCGAAGCCAAACCACGGACCGATTGAGTCCTCAAGGAATAGGCCAGCATAGACGCGGCATATGCTTCTGTCGGAGATGAGCTCTGATGCAAGCTGGAAGGGCGCCTTCTTGGCGTCCCATTCTTCGTGTGGAAAGTCGTGCACATAATGATCGACACCAAACTCGGAAGGGAAATAGAGCTTCACGCTTGAACCAGGAATGCTGCGAAGAAGGCTTTCCTTGAAGTGATGACCACTGGGGCCTACACTGTATTTAAGGACGAGCTGCGTCAGCTCTTGTCACAGTCAAACTGAAGTAGACTCACGTGTTGATAAGGACATCGACCCCAGCCAGTGCCTCTTGCAAGTTCTCCTCGGTATATAGACGTAGTGATGCGCCGTGTTTCACGAGATTCTCGGCCTTGGGTGAATGGGAGCGTGCTAGGACTATGATGTCATGGAACCTATCGCGAAATGGCTGTTGGAGAAACCCCTCAGCAACTTTGGTGCCGAGATTACCAGTCGCGCCGGCGATTGCTACAGTTGGAAGAAGAGGCATTTTTAAAAGATTCACGGGTTGTATATGGTATGAAGGTCAATAAGTGAGATGCAAGTAAATGCTTTGTTGGTGCTGAGATCTCCCTTGGGGGTAATATTAAGACTCTACCTTAATGTTGGGATATGATGTAAGCTTACTTGATGCTTAAGTTGACTGTTGACCAATAGAGCAATACATTATCTGCTATTTCATCTGGATTTTAATCCCTTAACAGCTCTGTTTCTGCACGGTAAAAAAAAATACATTAATACATTAATATGATTGCGTTCAACCCTATCCATATAAGCAGGGCTATCTTGTTACTTAGGCACTGTAGGTTAGGTATCTAGGTCAAATAATTAAGGATCCTACTAATGCATGGATGGACACCAGTTCAGCCAATGCTATATGCTTTCTATGACATCCCACATTAAGACGACAGTGAGAAAGGAAATCGAACAAGTCAACATTCATATCCTGTACCAGCTTAAACTGTGACAGGAGTGGTGATTGAGATTGTGCGCAGGCGGATTATAAATTGTATAAAACAACAACCTTAGTCTCCAAACTCCAAATCATGTTCTTTCCAGTATCGATGCCACGATTTGTGAGCTTCAGTCAATCTTACAAGTTCCATTTTGGTCTTATCGTACTGCATTTCGAGAAGATGACGCGGGTAGGCGCGCGTTGTCTTGGTTATGCCATGTTCACAATCTTCCAGGTGAACATAAAAAGCTTAGTACAACATATATATATATGGACTGGAGATTCAGGTATCCTGATGAAAAGAGCGGAAACCACAGAAAATGGGTTCTTTTGATGATTTTGACAAGTTATTCTCCTGCTACCTTCAGCGCAATAGGCCAACGTGATGGTAACATGAGTCCTTGGCTACAAATTTATGTTAGACGATGGGAGACGCCAAATGAAACGATACTTTATTACGTTGATGAACAATATCTAATATCATCACTGGGAAATTCTCCTCAACGTGCATTCGTGGCCATCTCTGCTGTATCAGACACATATCACTTTCACGCATCAGGGGTCCTAGACACCGTCACAAGGAGAAGCTGGTTCAACATCTGCGATCAGTGTATACTGCAGCAGTGTCAAGTTTAGCGGTCTCACAAATCGTAGCCGCGTGTAGTGAACTGCACGGAGCAGCTCTTTGCCACCCTCACGATTGCGCCCGGTCCAATGGGCTATGAAGTGACCCTGATAAAGCAGGCAGAGTTGGTGATGGGAACTCTTATGGAGGATAAGTATGGAAATTAAACGTCGCCTTCTAATGACTAGCCGGATGCATCGGCAAATGGCTGATTCGAGTATATTCCAGCTATCATGTCGTCTTGATAGAGAGCGCGGCTCGCGGCTGAGCTCCTATACTGCTAACAGGGAGCTATGACCAGCAGTCCAACACAACAAGTACATTAGCGCAATGTATTACAATATCCAATCAACAGATGCAACGTCTAGTTAGTTTGTAACGATGGTGTTACCCCTCAAAGGCTGAATCACTAAACCGCCAACGGCGCCAAGGCCATCCACGAGGCGTGACACGCGATAGTTCACGAGTCAGACAGGGATATGTCCGCTAGAGGCCTAGGAGGCCAAGCGTGGGAACTACCGACGAAACGTAGAATGCGGAGAAGATGAACGGACTGAACGGAGGATCTTGGTTGACAGGTTCTGCCCAGTAAAGTCAGTTGACGCGCTGTGTCAGCTCGGTGCGCGGTTATCTCGTGGTGGGGTCGCTATCAAACGATTCCTTGTTCGGGCTTGTCTTTACGTAGGAGATTCTGGGATCCGTATCAGCTCAATCTGGGGAAATGGCAAATGACTCGATGCTTATCATGTGGAGATGCTGCCTTGTTATCAGATATAAGTGAGGATGAGTCGGTTTGTTATCGCTCGAGTTGCGGTCTTTCGAGGCTCGTATTTGGACAAGATGAATAGCCGCGATCGCGCTCTTCTCACATGCAGAGACGGCGGAATCTAGCCGCGTCGATACGTGCGATCAGCGGTATCATGACCGAAATGTCAAGCCACTAATGCTCGTGTACCCCAGATGGACTAACCCGTTGAGGACAGAGATAAGTAGGACCTAGATCGTGGAGGACGCCGAGTCTAGGCCCCTCACGGCCCGTTTCCTGTTTCTCATTTCTCGTCTGCTTTTTTAAAAAGATAATAATGTCCACTTTCCCCTGATCATAATTGACGCGACAACACAGCAAAGGTACACACAGTACCACGCCATACCTAATCACAACACTTGACTGTGTATTTGTTAATTGTCTCTTCCATCTGTAATTGCTGTCCGTCCATCATGGAGTCTGCCACCAAAAGCGGCGACGCCGATCAGGCCCTCGCCCGTCTGGGCTACAAGGCTGAGCTCCCTCGAAACCTCAGCATGCTGAGCGTCCTCGGCCTGTCGTTCGCCATCATGGCCGTCCCCTTCGGTCTCTCGACGACAATGTACATCACCTTGACCAACGGCCAAGCTGTCACCGTTCTCTGGGGCTGGGTCCTCGTGTCGCTCATCTCCATGTGCATCGCCGCCTCTCTCGCCGAGATCTGCGCCGTGTTCCCAACGGCCGGCGGCGTGTATTACTGGAGCGCCATGCTCAGCACACCTCGTTACGCTCCCATCGTCAGCTTCGTCGATGGCTGGCTCACGCTCGTGGGAAACTGGACCGTTACACTGTCGATCAATTTTTCTGGTGCGCAGCTTATTCTCAGCGCCATCACCATCTTCAATGAGGATTTTGTCGCGAATACATGGCAGACGGTCTTGTGCTTCTGGGCTGTGATGCTTGTCTGTGCTTTGGTCAACGCCTTTGGTTCGCGGTACTTGGACCTTATCAACAAGGTCTGCATTTACTGGACCGGTGCGAGTGTCATCATCATTATCGTCACGTTGCTTGTTATGGCGCCTTCGCGTCGCTCTGCTGAGTTCGTCTTTACCCACTATGATGCTTCTGCAAGTGGCTGGCCTTCAGGCTGGTCGTTCTTCGTGGGACTGCTGCAAGGTACGTATGCCAAGCCTTTTCAATTAAACGGTCGCTAACCATCTCCAACCAATAGGTGCTTATGTCTTGACTGGCTACGGCATGGTCGCTGCCATGTGTGAAGAGGTCCAGAACCCTGAACGTGAGGTCCCCAAGGCCATCGTCCTCTCCGTCGCTGCCGCCGGTGTCACCGGAATTATTTACCTTATCCCCATTCTCTTCGTCCTTCCCGATGTCAAGATGCTTCTCTCCGTCGCCAACTCCCAGCCTATCGGTACCCTGTTCAAGGTTGTTACCGGTTCCGCGGCTGGTGGCTTCGGTCTCCTCTTCCTCATCCTTGGCATTCTCATGTTTGCAGGCATTGGTGCCCTCACTGCTGCGTCTCGCTGCACATATGCTTTCGCCAGAGATGGTGCCATCCCCGGATACAAGCTCTGGAGCAAGGTTAATACCCGTTTCGACATGCCTGTCAATGCTCTCATCCTCTCTACTGTCGTTGACTGCATCCTTGGGTGCATCTACTTTGGCTCTTCTGCTGCTTTCAACTCTTTCACTGGTGTCGCTACCATCTGTCTCTCTTCCTCTTATGGTGTCCCTGTCGCTGTCAACCTGGTGCGAGGCCGAAAAATCGTCAAGCACTCTCCTTACCCTCTGGGCAAGTTTGGCCCTCTCATCAATGGCATTTGCGTCGTCTGGATTGTCTTCTCCATCGTCATCTTTTGCATGCCCGTTTCTCTCCCTGTCGAGCCCGCTACCATGAACTACGCTTCTGCCGTGTTTGCTGGCTTTGCCGCTATTGCCATCGTTTGGTATGCTGCTTATGCCCGAAAGAACTTTACTGGACCTCCAGTCCACGACGACGGTTCCTTCGAGCCTGGCGTGCAGGTCCTTAAGGGCCAGGAAGGTAGTGCGCCCGTACATGAAGGGGCGAGTGATGTTCCAGACAAGGATTCTAATTAATTTCTACAGATACCACCAAGACCCCTGTATCATAGTTGTTAGCATATATGTAGCAATGCATTCTTGGCTTTTTACTACTCCGGTCGCCGCTGTTCATCTCCGTTGGCTGTCGATTGATGAACTTGTACCAGTATGCGCTATGACAGGCTGACCGCCATCCATCTTTACGTACGACGACTTGTATCGAAGACGAACAAGCCTCAAACCCAATCTTCCCCCACGTGGATGTCAACATCAGGCCATGGCGCAACTCATCACAGCTCTGACTCTGATCCACCATTAGAGTCATAGTCATTGGAGGGGCTAACTTCCCCAACTGGTACCGCCATTGGGGTACCTGATAGAAGATACTGACAGTCCCTGGGCAGAGATTTACAAGAATGACCCAAGTTGGGGAATTTCGGTGATTTTAGTACATTAAATACAATTTTAAATGTCTTTATCCGGTTCTTAATAGATCTTATAGAGGTAATCCAATAATGCTAATCCACGCCATTGCTTCTGCAACCTAGAACCGGCGTGAATCATCACAGCGCCTCTCCGATGATCGCCAACAATGGAAGTGTACTTAAACCACAGATACACGAGATGAAAACGCAATCCATCTTTCCCTATCCCATCAATTACATTTGCAGACCATGCCTCAAAAGCAAGCCTTTCTCCAGGCTCTCACAGCCGATGAGCACAACCAAACCAGCTTTCTTCAAAAGTTTGTACAAGCGGCATCCCCAAATCCACCTGGGGACACGATCAAAGCAACAACAGTCATCGGAGAATATTTATCCAGTAAGAACATCCCTTACGAACTCGTCGACGTTAACGGGGACGGCAAAGTCAATGTAATTAGCGACTTTCAAGGCGGACAACGCCCTGGCCCGCGCGTAGTGCTGAATGGCCATGTCGATGTTTTCCCCGTCGGTGACGGTAGTGGCTGGTCTCGAGATCCTTGGTCGGGCGATATGGTCGATGGAAGACTCCATGGGCGCGGAGTCGTAGACATGAAGTCTGGGACTGCTTCGCTCATCGTTGCATATGCCTTTTTGTACGAGCGTCGCCACCTTCTCTCGGGGAGTGTTGCCCTTTGCGCTGTCGCGGACGAAGAGACAGGTGGGAAATGGGGGACCAAATATCTCATTGAGCAAGACAAGCACAGATGGGGTGGTGATCTCATGCTGTGTGCTGAGCCAGGTGGTCTCGAGACCATCAGATTCGCAGAAAAGGGAACGCTGCGATTGACATGTGCTGTCAAGACCAAAGGCGCGCTGGGGCCATATCTTCATCTCAGTAAGGGCGCTATCCGCACAGCCAGCGCTTTCATAAATGAGATCATAAAGTCGGCGGAATCAATACCTGTCGATCTACCTGTCGAAATGGAGAGGCATCTGGAAAAGCCAGAGGTCCAGCGAGCTATCGACCAAGCAATGGGTCCTGGAACTACAACAATTATTGCTCGACCGACCGTCAACGTTGGCACAATCAGGGGCGGTCTTAAAGTCAACATGATCCCAGAAACATGTGTCTTCGAGCTGGATGTTCGTATGCCAGTTGGGACGCGGGAAGACACAGTTCTGGAGCTGATTGACACCATCATCCCGCAGTACGAGCCCGCGAGTATTGAGATCAAGAAGCAGGCTGCTGCGAGTAACCCTTTCAGTTACTCGGTCATCGATCATCCCATCGTTGGTCATCTCAAGGACAACGCCAAGAGCCTGCGACCAGATGCTGATGCTCCTATTCCCATCCCCTCGATGGGCGCATCAGATTGTAAACATTACCGGTATGCTGACATCCCAGCTTACATCTTCGGCTGCAGCCCAGCAACAAGTGAGTCCTTCCTACTAAAGAACCCTGAGTACTTTATTGATGTCTCCCCAGTGGCGTCTGTGGACGAATCAGCGTCAATTGCAGAGTTTCACCACGTCACAAAGGTACATGCGTTGGCTGTCTGGGATTATTTACATCATGTATAAGATCTAAACTATGACACCCATGTGTTATCTACAGTCAAGACTTAGGGCTGAAGTTTTATATTCACTTGGTATAACTGAGATCAAAGAGTGTCCGGAAGATGCTATTCGCGGTTTGGGAATTGAGTTTATCCATCGATATAGAACTCAAGAGTATACTGCCACGAGAGTTGTAAGATAATTCAACCAGTTTAATAACATGGAACGAACCTGGCACAAGTGTCTATCTTCTGGCTTGGCAGGGTGGATCAAAGGCTCCAGCCCCCATGGCTCTTGACCCTCCCTCGATGTATACACAGTAGGCAGCCAATTCTCAAACTCTTTTAGACATTACAAAGACTATCTTGGTTAAACAGCTCGTCTAATGACTCAATTGACTAAAAAGATCGTATTTCCTTTCCTCATGTCGACCTGATACATCCTCCGATTGCTCTCCAGAATCCAACTCATCTATCTCGTTCGATCAACATTCTCGTGACGGTCACCCAACATCATCACGCTGACTATCACTCATCATGTCTGAAAAAAAGATCCTCATTCTTGGAAACGGAATGGTTGCAAAGCCATGCGTTGATTACTTGCTCCGGAATAAGAACAATGTTCTCACAATTGGTCAGTGTCTCTTCCCTTACCCTTATATGCCTGAAGGTTTTGACGAGCTGACTTTCTGGGCGATGCCTAGCCTGTTGTACTCTTTGTTCTGCCCAGAATGTGGCAGCTGGAAGACCTTCCGCTAACGCAATCGCCCGTGACGTCGCTTCGCCGGACCTTGATCAATGCATCGCAGAACATGGTCTCGTCATTTCTCTCGTACCGTTTGTCCACCATGCGGCCATCGTTCGATCGGCTATCAAGGGCAAGACAAACGTTGTTACCACAAGTTACGTATCTCCTGCCATTCGTGAACTCGAGGACAAAGCCAAGGCGGCTGGTATCACTGTGTTGAACGAAGTCGGTGTCGATCCTGGTGTGTGGACCACCTATACGCTATCAAAACTATCGGCGAGGTCCACGAAAAGGGTGGAAAGGTATGATGCAAGCTCCCTTGTCCCTGTTATTCTGACTGGTCTAGATTCTTGAGTTCTACTCGTATTGTGGCGGCCTTCCGGCACCCGAGGCATCTGACAACCCTTTGCGTTTCAAGGTACCTACGCCAACTTACTGCAACCGACCTCGCTTGCAAGCCTCTAACCTCTCAGCTTTCTTGGTCCCCCCGTGGCGCCTTGATTGCGTAGCCAAACTCTGCCACTTTTCTTCAAGAAGGAAACGTGGTGGAGATTTCCAACAAAGATCTCATGAGCAAGGCAGTTCCATACCACGTTCTTGATGGATACTCATTCCTTGCATATCCCAATCGAGATTCTGTGCCATTTCGTCAAGCTTATGGAATCCCCGAAGCTCGCACCGTCATCCAGAGCTCACTGAGATACGATGGCAACCCTGCTCTGGTGAAGGCTCTGATTGACCTAGGCTAGCTTGACGCAGGCTGCAAAGCCTGGCTGAAGAAGGGTATCACATGGTCGCACATTCAGAAGAAGCTTACGGGCGCAGATTCTGCCGCTGAAGCTGATCAAGGTAGATGAGATTTGCAGTTTCCGCTCCGCCGAGGAACGACGTAACATCTTGGCCGGCCTCAAGTGGATGGGTCTATTCTCGGACGGAGTCGCTGCGGTCCGCGATTCTCCCCTCGACACTCTCTCCGATCAATTGGACAAGCTATGCAGCTTCCAGGTCGGTGAGCGAGATCTGGTAATGCTCCAACACAAGTTCGTTGTCCAGTGGGAAGATGGGACTAAAGTGAGTATTGATCGACTGTTCCCGGAAAAGAATAGAGGTAGCTAATATGATCTGTAACAGAATACAATCACGTCTACCCTCGAACTCTTCGGGGAGCCTGGCGGCTACTCAGCTATGGCCAAGTCTGTCGGTTTGACCTGCGGTATTGCCTCCCAGCTTCTTCTCGACGAGGAGCCAGCCTGGTGTGATTGCTCCATACTCCCGCGAGATCTGCGACACCATCCGAGTCAGAGTCGAAGCTGAGGGCATCAACCTTGTGGAGCATACTCTCTAGACATGGGAAATCGGTTATGAAATGTGCAGGCGATTTCGATGTTATGTAGTACTAGAATAACAATAGATAAGCCTTGGCAACAGAAGGTATGAGGTCGTTGAACTGAAGAGATCAAAAAGAGTCACGGCCAAAAAATGTGGTTCCGCCCGGGATCGAACCGGGGACCTTCTCGGTGTTAACGAGATGCCATAACCAACTAGACCACGGAACCGAGCTAATTGGATATGAGAGTAGGCAGAGTAGTAGCTCATACGCAGCATTGGAAGACACGAATTGAGTTGGTCAAAACACTGGACTTTGGTGCTACCCTGAACTCAATCAGAAAATATTGGCAAATAAACATCAGATGCGATGAAGCCCTGTCGACTATTACTAACATCAATTCAAGTTTAGATAATGCGGAAGTCTATTCTCGCCATATAAGGAATACTCAAATCGCTATACTAACGTTGGTCTCGTGCCCAATCCCTACAATCCATTAGCCTCGTCTCCGTCCACCGCATTATGCACATGATGATTGTTGTTATGGTTCTGCTGCGAAGGGCTATTCCTCGACGCGAGCAGCGACTCGAGTAGAGAGCCAATCTCTGGGTATATCTGTTCAATGTTCGCCAATCCCTCCGGCCCCAGCTGCACCATCACGCTGAACATGTTGGCGAACCGGGCTGCTTCTGTTCCGCGCGTCACCGCCGCTTGGAGATCTCTTATGTCGGCTTCTATGCCGCTCGAGTTCTTCTCCGCTATGTCGAGTTCCTCGGCCGCTCGTTTTAGCTCGTCGTGTTTAGCATTGATGGCTGATTCTTGGGTTTTTATCTCTTCGCTTTTGGCGGCTCGGCGACTCTCATAGCTTCGTATTGCTTGTGCGATTTCGGGTGGTAAAGACATGTTATTTTCTTGGAGTGCATGGAGTTGTGGTGCAAGGGCGTCCTCGGCGACGGATTCTTCGACAAGTCGTCGCAGCCTGTCTTGCGACTCTGCTATATCATCTTGGATCGCTTGCACGCCCATTTGGGCGGCGCGAAGTTTGCTCATGGCTTCTTGGGACCTGGACCTATGAGGAAATATTTCCTGTCGAGCAATGGCAAGCGAGGAGCGTATCGTCCGGACGTGTGCGTCAATTGCTGCGACGAAGACATTGGTCGCAGGTTTTAACGCCTCCTGGAGATTAATCGGTTCGAGAGAACGAGTAGCATTGGCCTATCAATGTATCAGCATAAGAACTCATCGCATATTGGCCAAACAGACAGTTGTATTTGGGCCAAAAGATGTGGCCATTTGGAACGTAGCCATCGGAGAGCTGAACATCATGAGGCTCTGCGCAGCTGACAGGCGCGAACCTTCTGGCGAACTATGACGGACACGCTTCTCAATCGGCGTGGGTATTGTTGTGGTCGGTCGTTTCAAATGCTTGATGTTGCGAGGTACAGGGGGAGATGGAGGAAACTCTGAGGCCACGGTAATAGACGAGGCCATGTGCTCTTCGCTCTCCTCTGAAGAAGTATCTTGACGCGATCGCGATGGGTCAATTGGTGAGTCTGGAGCGCTATAGTTTGCGGTTCTTCGCCGTCGTCCGGATCGTCGCTCGGCCGTGCCAACATCATCACCAGTGTCGTCTTGGGCATCAGGCGATTGAGGCATTGTTCGAACGAATCGCTTCTTTGCAGCGTGGACATCCTGCGCCATCAATTTTCCAGCATAAGAAGGTTTGCGATCGCGCGCAAGGGACTTCCGAAGCTCTGTTTGAAGATCTTGCAGCGTATCGCCTGGATTTCTGGCAACATGGTCTGCGACAAGGGCGAGGTCCTCTAGCAGATTGATGGCCCACATCTTGGGAGGTGCTTCGGGAACGATGTCCCATGGCCAGACACCCATAGCTTTGTATATTCGACGAGCTGCGCGAGCTCCGCGTGTTTGTAAGTATGTACCGTGGGGTTCGGGGATGCGAATGGTATCGATGTTATCGAGGGCGCCGTCGACATCAACGATGGGCGACTGCGCGTTTGGCGGCCGCGTCGAAGGCATCGCGCCTGAGGCGAGGCGAGGGAGAGGAAGCGCGCACGACTACAGCATACAATTAAATGGAACGAAACTGATATCATGTACTGTGATGATGCGATAAGATAGTGATGCTCCCAACCGCGGGCAAAAAGCCGGGTCTGGCGCCGTGATTGAACTGGTGATGATCCCCCAGCCACATCATGGAGCGTCGGGTCCAGGTCTGGTGAGTCGACCCGATCTCATGTAAAATCACGTGATATGACAGCTCTTTTCCCCATCCCCGCAGTCATGAACTCATGATGCCATATTATGGTCAATGCCGAAGCTGTAATGATTTGATTTTAAGTGAGAATCTCCCAGATATTATTGAGGAGTGTTTTGGTCATGTTACATAACGAGTTTGTCTTGTTTTGGTGATTTTCAATTGATCATCAAACTTGGACTGGCCGCGTTCTTAGCGAGGACTAGCACTGTGTTACAAAAGCAAACATCATCCGATTCTTTGTCGAGGCTTGACAAGGACATGAAATCCCAGCATGTTACAGTCAAAAATCGATTTAACAGTGCTTGAGTCACAAGGGTTCATTCTGTGGAGATACACTTATGTCACCTTGAAAGATCGCCCGGTTAGAGATTCGTATAGTAAGCATGATTGTTTGTGCAATTTGGACGATTCATCAATTTAAGGATCACCAATGTAGGCGCTGCGTTTGATAGCCTTATACTCTGTTTTAGAAGTAGAACGGGTTAGTTTCAGTCTTTGAGAGACATATGGGTCAATATCATGAGAGGATATCTGTAGATTCGAATAATGGCAAAGGATAAATCAGCCCATGATCGATTTCAAGGGCATATATCCACTCGATGGGTTTCGAAATACGACGCCTTTTTCTTGCTTTGGCATTTGATATTATCTTTAGAGCTATATATCAGCCGTTGTGAGGGACTCAGGTACGTAATCATGCGAAGAATGTATCATTCGTATCATATCTATTTCGGAGCTAAGTATTCAGAGGCCAGCCTCAACTCGCCGCACTATCTAGAGCATACCTGAGGCGATCCTTATTTCATCCTGTTGTAGTAAGCACCGAGAGCCTTGTCGACCACAGCCTTAACCTTGGAAGCATCCAACTTCTCCTCTCGGTTGAAAGTGTACAGTCCGTTGACCTCCTGCTCAATATCCGCCCTACATATCATTAGTCTCATATCAACACAGGATTCAAGCCACACTTACAATTGAGTATAGACGAAAGCACAACAGTGCCCTCCCAAAACAACACCATTGACAAGGCGCTCAATTCTCTCTACCAGGTCATCAGCGTTGGTGGCAGTAGTGTAACCCCAGTCGAGGCTGTCGCCATCTTCCTTCTTGGCTGGTGCAATGTTGACACCTCCGAATTCAGTATTCATGACTGGAGCACCAGGCTTATGCTTAGAGCCTTCGTCAACACCGGGAATTGCAGGTAGGAAGACGCCTCGACCAGCCTTCGGGCCAATGATGCCCTCAAGAGTGGAGCAGGTCTTTTCGATCTCAGGGCCATCGCTATAGTCATGGAATGTGGTTAGGTCAGTTAGGACATGCTGCCATCCGCAATTGTCATTGATACTTCGTGTATCATCAAGGCCCCTAGAACTGTTAGCATTAGTCTGAAATTGAAGCCGATATACTGACTTGGTGAGATAGTAGAGTTGACGAATGTGGTTACGCTGATCAACGTTATCCTCAAGGTTAGGATAAGCCCAGCTTTCATTCACAGGAGTCCATGTCACGACTGATGGGCGGTTGATAACCAGCTTGACAGCTTCAGTCCACTCCGCGTTGAATCGATCAACATACTCGGCACTGAACGCATAAGCATTCGCAATCTCACCCCAGACGAGGAAACCAAGCTTATCAGCCCAGTAGTAGAAGAGGGGATCTTCAACCTTCTGGTGCTTCCTGCAACCGTTGAGACCCATCTTCTTGGCAAGCTCAATATCTAGCTTGAGGCTCTCGGGGCTAGGAGGAGTCATGAAGGTCTCAGGCCAGTAGCCCTGGTCTAAGCAGAGAGCCTGGAAGTAGGGCTTGTCGTTGAGTCGCCAGGTACCGTCTCCTGTTGTCCAGTTGATATTTCTCATGCCGGTGGTTGTCTTGACTTCGTCAATGACATTCTCGGCATCATCATACAGGCGGATAACGAGGTCATAGAGTTGGGGATGCTCAGGAGACCAGAGTGCAACACCATCGCGCCAAGCAAAGTCGTTGTCCAGAGGGGCACTCTCGGTAACAGACTTGGGTAGTTTGGATCTCTGCTCTTCAGACAGACGCATGTTCAGCTTAACGCCAACAGAGCTCGTCTCTCGGGGCAGAGCCTTCTTGTCTGATTTAGAGATAGGAATACCAGCAAAAATGGATTCAAGCTCGACAGAATAGCCCTTTCCAATTCTTCGTCCCTTGACAGCGATGGTGCTTCGAAGCTGGCCAGAGTGGATATCATTGGACTTGATAACAGTGCCATAAGAGCTATCAGCAATACGAGCACTAGGAACAACCTCTAGCCAAACAGACTGCCAGATACCACCAGAAGGAGTGTAGAAGATAGTCTCTGGCTTGGCAGCCCAGTATTGTTTGCCTCGAAGTTGTGTAAGATCATAAGCCGAATCATAGACGCGCAAAGTGACTCGGTGAGTTGTAGCATCCTTAGCAGCATCCACGGCATCAGTGATGTCAATTTCGAAGGGAACGTGTCCACCACGATGACCACCGACATATTCTCCATTGACCCAAACAGTAGCTTCATAATCAACAGCACCAAATCTCAAGACCAGCTTATGACCCTTCTCCTTCTCCTGCGCTGATCGCAAGTCTGAGATGGCACGCTCATACCACATAACCTCATGAACTCCACGATCATTGATACCAGAAGCAGGAGATTGGAATACATAGGGAACATTGATTTTGGTTTTTGAGTTGGTAGTCTGTGTAGATGAA